CCACATATATATTGTTGTCATAGGTTTACAATTTGTTAGGTATATATAAATATTTAAATATTTTGTTGAGCGACTTATTTTTCGTATGTCGATAAATGCTCCAAAAGGTAGAAGTATTTGTTTCAAATCGAAAGACATAACAAGTGCATTATGTGATGTCATTAATAAAATTTCACATAATACCTCCCCAGTAAAATATGTTACCCCAAAAGAAATCCCCAGAAAAAATATCCCCAAAATCTTCCCAATTGAAATAAAAATTATATAATTTTTCGGGAGAACCCCCTAATGTGGCAACCCTGGAATCCAAAATAAATTATGTGAGATCGTGAAGTGAGTAGCACCAGCGGAAGGAAACAAAGAAGAAAAGTGATCTGAAGTTAGTCACTCCTTCTGACACAGTCCGGATCGAAAGATAACGATACTCGTGAAATGTATGGATACTCCCAAGTATCGTATATAAAATATCCATCCAAAACAAATTCAAATTCAAATTCAAAATATTTATTCCGTGACGAGTAAATGTTACAATCAAATGAAATTCCAGAAGAAACAATGACGAAAAAGGACAGTCTCTCGATTATGGAATCGATACATGGAACCCTTTAAAACAAAGAGTCCATGCGAGAATGCCATGAAAGTCCAAAAAACCCTTAAGCCCATCTAATTAAATAAAAAGTATAATGTGGTTATAATAAGAATATTATCAACTATTGATATAAATAAATATCTATACATATTTCGGTAACTCCATGCACTCCCGTTTGCACACTAGTTGTACGTTACATTATGTAGATTACAGAAAAAAATTGAGAGGCAAATGACAAGGCGGTGAGACACAAAAAGGCAAAAACGAAGAAGAACACCCGAAACCGGCAACGGACGCGAAGAACAAATCTATACAACTTGTCAGTGAGTAGAATTATAAAAACGATATGTTTGTCAAATGGATCTTGAAGCTCCTTTGCTATATTTGACGGCCTGTTACCCTATAGGTGGAGAATAACGGCTTGTTGACTTGTCAATCCTGGTGATATCTGCCCTTAGTATATTATTTTGTACTGCTGTGACAAATCAAGGACTTTTTTATATCATTATTATTATTATCGTTTGAAACGAGAGGACATGGACAGGTTTCCACACAAGCCGCTGCGTAAACCAATTACGTATGTAAAAAGTATTTCACCTCTTGGAGCCTATAGATCCTTCTAGGAAATAATGTAGATGTTCTCCTCAGAATGAATTAGAAAAGGGCATTGCTTTTCAAAACTGTTGAATTATGTAAAAAAGGAAGGCTCATATCATCACAATCAAATATAAATATTACAATTATATTTTATATTTATGACTGCAATAAATCCCTATAGTTCGCAATGCGTTTTTGAAAGTCTTTTTCTTTTCCACGAATATATTCTTGCATTAGGAACTATAGATATCACGCGTATATTAAAAGTGGGTTACCTACTTTCCAAGTGTTACATTGTCAAGATCAAACAACAGACGGGTATTGCGATTTCGCACATTTATTACGTCATTGCTGAATTCTTTGGTCTCTGTAATGAGGTTTTAGCGAAAGCATTACTATACTGACCTTAGACGGGATCCAAGATTTGTTTAATGGTATTGGTGACGTAAATCTTGCATATTGAGAGCGCTAACATTTTGTAATACCAATCTGTTTCCAATCCTTGCGATAGTTTTTCTTATATTCATGATCAAATTTGCTAACTGTTTCTTCACATTTACCAGACAAATATCGGCGCGAAATTTTAAAGGTAAGTTTGAGTGTTTCTGTGACTGAAATTCCTTATTTTTGGCTTTGATGACCTGATAAATATCATGTAAGCTTATGAACACGACAGCGTTATCATATTTTGTGATTTTTCATGTTTCCAGAAATACTCCCTTGGATGCCTCTTGCAACCTCAGGTCTGTCTCAACAAACCACGAACCCAACAAGCCTTGAGAGCCAATATTGGAGAAGAACTAGCCAATTTTGAGCCAGATGTTCTGTGAATCTCGTAAAACGAACACAAATGTCTGACTATTTCCACCTAGAAATAACTTGCCAAAGATTGATACATCTCGGTCCATATGTCTAAAGTGCAGACATACCTCTACGCCTTCTTGCCAAAACAAGCATGTAACGATGTTGGACATGGACACAGTGATAGAAAGCAAAGAGATTTGGTTCAGCCCGTGTTTATCTGATTTTTTTTATACAAAGAAACACATTGGCATCGGAAAAAATTCAATAAAGAGGCCTTGATAATAATGAATGAAAATGCTTACAGTAATCCAATATCAATACTTGATGAGGTTTTCTACTCATCGGTGTACCAGGTAATACTATTCGACATATGTTTGGATTCACCCTGAGCCTATTCGGTCCTGTCCTTTGAATTAACACGATATAGTATCTCAGTGCAGTATCTCAGTATCAACAAGTTTCGAGAATCTGACAGGTGGCGTTTCAAGTATGCAGCAGGGTGTCATGTATCGTGGTATATTTCATGGCATGAGCAGTGTATTCTATATGTAATTATTATTATTTTGCCCCTTATTTAAATATCGAGGGGTAGTATGTTTAGCAGTACCTCCAGCGCTGCGGTTGAGGCACCCTTCATGGTTCCTGTGATGCTCAGACATGCAGTTCGCTGCTTTTTTGTAAGTCAATAGCTGATATGCTTCTTCCTTCTGTCACCATAAAGTAGACCGTACACTACAATCAGTCTGATCACTCTGATGTTTAGCCAGTTCACCGTAGGGGGGATTGGGCCACAGATGCATCTGACCGACCGTCTCATCATCGCTCGGTTAATCCGAGCACTGCTCGTGATGCTCTTCATTTGGCTACTCCAGGTTAGCTTGTCATCTGTGTGACACTCAAGTACTTTACCTCCTTCGCAACCTTTATTTTATTACCGAGGAATGTAGTGATGTCCACATTCATTATCTTAGTGAATGGGACTATGAGGTATTTGAAGGATTAGCAGATAACCGCTTCGAGACACATCATCTTTCCATCATGAACAGTGCCCTCTTATCAAGATAACAATGTCATTACCATAAGCTTAAGGTATACTTTCCCTGCTCGCTTAGAGATACAACTCAGGATTCATAGCCTTGGTGACAGAACGGCACCCTGCGGACACCTTCATTGAGTTTCTCGCCTACATATCGAGCGGGTGTTCGAGTTATCGAACTCTCCTTTGATGTACACGAGCACCGCAACTGCAATATTTTGTACGTGAAATCTTGCACGATGTTACCTATTGGGCTATCAACTCTACCCCGTATATGCCTATCCACTACTTCCACCATTGTTTCAAATAGAAAATACGTAGTACTGTTCCCTTTGGCTAGACATAACCTTAAAAGATGCACTAGTCGATAATTGAATCAGCAGCGTTTTGGAGCAGAGCTGGGAATATACCATCAACTCCTGGTACAGTATAGTAAGAACGAATTTCAGATAGTAATTGAACCTCGAGGGTCTCTTCCCGGCCGTCTGCAGGAGACCGGCGTGGGTATTATCTAAAACACCTACAAAGCGTCAAAAAAATCTATAAAAGTCATCTTGCAGACTAGGTAGTTTCTAGGATGCAAACAGTTATTCCACGTTTACTCACTACACACCTATGGAGCAATGACTCAACTAAACTACACGCATTGTTGGCTGCATATGTTTTGTGAAGCCGAGTGGTCTCTAGTTTTCATCAGTGTTTTGTGGTTTTTATCTCTGAGAAGAAAGTTGGTTGAATAGCAAGATCGCATCTGTATGATTATGTGTGTTGGTCTACATGTGTATAGAACCAGTGATATTTGCTGTGTGAGAAAATCATTACTGAATATGCTGCCAATAAAGTATATCTATTAGCTGTGCCCGACGGGTTATTTATATGTTGTCCTTTCTGAAGACAGGTTGTGTCCAAAGTTATAAATTACAAAAAACTTTGAGGAGAATTACGGGAAATAACCACCGCGCCCGCGTTGGATGTAATTACTGTTAGCTTGTAATTCGACAGTGTACAGTGAATATAATTATTTATCATTCTCGTTTTTGAAATCCATCAAATTTGCATATGTAATTCTAGAATGGATGAGAAAAAGTGGATGCGCAACTAATTTCTATCTATGAATCACAAGTAAGTGTATTTGAGACAAGAATCCGATGGAATTATCAACACATACAACTTACAGCTTACACCTCCAGTAATGAAGCAGATTGTACACCACATCAGAGCCAAACATTGATAACTGAGCCTCAAGACGTTTAGGCAACACGTACAACTACAAAACGAGTTCAACACGTGTCCATCAGCTAGTGGAAAGCTAACATCTCGTGAAAAAATCTACATAATGTCACAAAAAAAAACGGCATAATGTCACTTCTAAAGCTACGTAATACCCGTGCGGCACGGGTATTATGTATCTTGAAAAGTGACATTATGTCAGATTCTTTGACATTATATAGGTTTCTTTTGACATAACGTAGGTTTTTCTACAAGATGTTAACTTAGCACTATCTGATGGACACTTGTGATCCCGTGTTGCCTAAGCGTCACAATGCTTCAACTATCAATATTTGGCTCTGATGTGATGTAGATGGAATTATTGGAGGTTTAAGCTGTAAGTTGTATACTTTAGACTGTAGCTGGCAGTGAAGTACGTAGGTGCATACTGAGGACCCGTGAGCTAATAATCTGTGTTGATGATAATTCCATTGGTTTCTTCTCTCAGATAGACTTACTTGAGATGTATCCAAAACCAGAAATTAGATGCGCATCCACTATTTCTTATTCAACCTGGAAATTACATATGCAAATTTGCTGGATTTCACAAATGTGAGAGATAGGAAAAGAGGATCACTGACTGGTGAAGTAACAGGCGAGAGGATATGCTACAGACAGGAATATTTAAGAAAGTGAAAAGGATATTACATTATTTTCTTATTCCCAGTCATTTAAGTTTTTTAGAAATTTATTTTATTCGACCTGTAAATTACATATGCAAATTTGGTGGATTTAAAAAATGTGAGAGATAGGAAAAGAGAATTTTTTTTTTTTTATATACTCCAGCTTCCACGAAGGCCTAAGGCCTAAGCACCCATTGGGTACCGTGGGGCTATGGGGGATACATGGGAAAGGGGGGACGCCACACGGACTCTGGCGAGGGAACACGTGTGCATGCAACATGCACACATTCTGGCTCCGCCTACGAGAACCGCCGGGTGGTACCTCCGCGTTCGACAGTCAGAGACCATCTACCACCTACTACACTGATTGGTGAAGTAACAGGCGAGAAGATGTGCTACAGACAGGAATATTTAATAAAGTGAAAAGGATATTACATTATTCTCTTATTCCCAGTCATTTAAGTTTTTTAGAAATTTATTTTGTGATTTCAATAGAAAATACAAATTAGCGCCTAGATATGAGGCACTGCGAAAATGTTTGATGTATCATTCCTAATTTTCCTGTTATGTGGCTTAATTGCACACAACGCGGGGAATTGGCAAAATTTAAAGCCTAGTAAACCCTTTTGACGGTAATCTCGAGCTTTCGACAGACTATGTTGTCATCTTCAGGAGCTAAAACACAAATATGAAAATAGCAACCAATTTAGAACAGATTTAAATTTTCAAATCACTTACTCGTCGGTGAGGTTGCAGGTAAATGGTGTTTTAAAATGACACCGTGGATGAGAACACTTGTTGCAATTATGAAACCAACAGACCGGACATATTGGGTTTGTTGCTAACGACGGAACACATAGTGTTACAACCATATGTCGATAAGCCCGAACAAATTTAATATTGTAGAACATACTCAAGTTATTAAAAAATTAACACTGCATTTTGGGGAAACAGACAATTTTTTTAACATCGTACATTTGATGCACGTGGTGACAGTGAATGAAACCGGAAGACAGATGACAGATGACAGATGTACGTTATGAAAGAATGGAATGGAAGTGTAAAAATCATTGCCAGGTATATTGCGTCCGAGGGGCGTTCGAAAAAACTTTTCATATTTCCCAAATGCTGATTTAGTTCTGTTTGGAAAAGTGTACTTTTTATGAACATATGGTGGTAATGACACACCAGAAAAGATGGGTTGTGTGAAAATTCTTTAATATTTACTATTCCTATGAAAACCTGAAAAAAATCCTTCATCTTACGTAATATATGATAGAAATTTGTGCTCTATTGTTGGGAGGATGTCGGGCCAACTGGAATATGCAGCAGTTCAACAAGTAAGAATAAATGATACTTAGTTGCTTAACCTTTTTATTCATACAGTGATGTCATGAAATTGTGAGGCATTTCTATAAATAAACGTTTTGAGAGGTCTTCTTCTTTGTCAAGAACCATAATACTGTCATAACTCATAGAATGACCTGTATGTAGTGTTGACATGTGATGCCAAAGCACATCTCGCTGGGTGTAATCTGGCGTCACTTTTGTGTAAGTTTATCCTGCCTAGCAGTGTGTTTTCCAAGATGACGGATAGGGTTCCGTTGCTTGATTCAACCAACACATTAATTGCAACAACTGCAATTTAGTTTACAAAGGCCAAACATCATTAAAAGGCAGGATAACCTTAAAAAAATGACGACAAATTACACCAAGAGAGATGTGTTTTAGTACCATATATCAACACTACAGGTCAAGAGTTACGGCAGTTTTAAGGTTCCTCACAAAGAGGAACACCTCAAAACTTTCATTATTAGGAATGTCCCACATTTTCACGGCAGGTCACTGAATGAATAAAAATGCTGATGTCAAGCGGCTCAGTGTCATCTATTCTTGCTTGTTGAACTGCGAAAAATTGGAACGACTACATATTCCAGTTGAGATTTTTCACAGTTTCGTAGTAATAACAAATGTTAAACAAAATTTCACACAACCCATCTCTTCTGGCGTGTCATTATCATCATATAGTCATAGAAAAAACTAATTATTTTCGGAAATACGAAAAGTTTTTTCGAACGCTCTTCGTATGCCACTACATACAGACATTTGGCAACAATTTTCACATTTTCATGACGTACAACTATCATGTCTACCACGTCACATTTTCGGGTTCACTCGCTGTCACCACGTGCAACAAGTAGACGGGGAAAGAAAAGAACTTACTATTTCCCCAAAATGTAGCGTCAGTTTTTTAATAACTTGAGTATGTTTTCCAATTTTTATTCTATTTGGGCTTATTGATTAATGTGTGTAACACCTAGCTATATGTTCCGTCGTTAACTACAAACCGAATCTGTCCGGTCTTTTGGTTCTATAATGGTAACAAGTGGTCTCATCCACACTTTCGTTTTAAAACACCATTTAGCTGCAACCTTACCGACGAGTAAGTGATTTGAAAATTTAAGTCTGTTCTAAATTGTTTGCTATTTTCATATTTGTCTCTTAGCTCCTGAAGATGACAACATAGTTGGTCGGAAGCTCGAGATTACCGTCAAAAGAGTTTACTAAGCTTTAAGTTTTGCCAGTTTCCAATAAAAAATTTAATTGTATTTTTTGCCCAACTGGTCGTTGGCAATGGCAATTACAACGGCTCGCATATATATACTCGTATATACGAGTCCCTTCCCACTTCAGTTGGCCCAACTATTGAAATCTTAGTTTTTTTCTTATCAAATACAAATAATAAAAATGTAGCAGGCTGGTTTAAAATATTAACAATGAATATTTTGATAATATATAGTGGAAAACACCAACTTTATCACTTCCTAATCAAATGTGCAGCATAAAAATAACACATGTTGCAATTACAGCATATCAACCTATTTTCATTTCAATGCAAAATAAGTCTATAACGCATAGGTGGCTGTGAAAAATAAAAGCCATGACAATTGTTTTTATTATTCGCACTGTCAGAATACGTTTAAAATAGTTTTTGTTAGTTAAGGTTTTCAAAATGGGTAGAGGAAAGGTTATTAGTGAGAAAATTCGGTTACTGAGAATTAATTTTTTTAATTCTGGGAAATCAAACTCAGAAATTGCAACTTTGTTAGACTTATCGTGGTACAGTGTGAAAAATGATGTTAGAAGATATAACGTAACTGGTTCAGTTAATATTAAGCCACGATATGTGAAAAAAAGTAATAACACAAATCCCGACCGATGAGCATTAAGCAGAATAATCGTGAAAAACAGGCGTGCCAATTATTTACAATTGCTCTGTGGAGTGACGCTGTTGGAAGGAGAATTGCGAGGTCCACAACTCATAGAGAGGCCCACAAACTGGGATTTAGCACTTGCAAGGTAAGTTTCCTTATAAAAAAAAGTGAAGTAAAAACCCTAGAGTTGCACAACTTGTTTATAGGCCAAAGAAAAACCACTATTAACTCCACTGCAAAATAAAAATCGGCTTAAATGGGCTAAAGAACATAGACAATGGACACCTCAACAATGGTGTGCAATACAATGGAGTGATGAGGCCCGATTCGAAGTTTGTGTTGGTGACAGTCACAGTAGAGTCATTCGCAAAAAAGCATTCCATGTTGACTGTTTGAAGAGAAAAGTGAAATTTCCAGCATCCCTTATGGTCTGGGGCAGTATGTCATTAAAAGGAGTAGGGAAACTTCATTTTATTGATGGAAATGTGGATACAAACGAATATTTGGCAATTTTAGAAGAATCGCTTTTACCAGTGATGGAAGAATGTTTGACATCCGGCCAAGTTTTTGTGTTTCAGCAAGATGGTGCAGCGTGCCATACCTAAAAAAAGGCTATAAAATGGATGGAAGAAAATAATGTACCACTTTTGAAATGGGTTTCTAGCAGTCCAGATCTGTCACCTATTGAAACTTTGTGGCACGAGATGAAAAAGGTTCTACGACAGCATCCTGCTCGTACAATCACCGAACTGAGACAAAAGCTTGAAGAAATATGGGATTATTTTACACCAAATTTTTGCCAAAACTTGGTTAACACTATGCCCCAAAGAATTTCAGCAGTAATATAAAATAAAGGTGATGTTACCCAATGGTAATCTTTCAATTGTTGCTTTGTTAACTTCGCGCATTTATTCGCACATTGTTTATTTGTTCAGATGTTCTATCAGTTATAGGTATAAGTGATTTCAAAAATGTATTTTTTACGACTAGAGTGCATCTAAAATGTTTTTGAGAAAATAAATTGTTTTATAAGTAAATGGTTTCGTCATGTTTAGTTTATAAAGACATATTTTGGTACAAATCTTGAAGTGGGCCAACTGAAGTGGGAAGGGACTCGTATATATATATATATATATATACATATTTATTTATATGTATATAAAGTATCCTTGTAATTTCTTTGGGATGAAGGCAAAGTTTTGCAAAACAAAGTACACTTTTTTAACTTAAACTCAGGCAACTCACATCATAAATCTCTTTCTTTCATTGATCGATAGTGTGTCAATAATGTGAATCTCACACGTCACTAAATCAGTCTCAGTCGGCTTCAGCACGTGGTAAAGATGAAGAGGTTTCCGGGGAAGATGATTGTTCGAAAGAACTTTCAATAGTTAATAAATCTTATAATAATTATTCAGAATCCGTTAATGTTTTTTTTTTTGAAAAAACATAGCTATGGTTCTACCAATATGTAATAAATAAAAATTATTCCTAATTTAACCTCAACAATCCAGCTTTTTGTTCGTTGACTATGTGTTTTCTTCTACTTCGTCTAAGAACAATTTCATCAACAATCTCGCCAACTTAGTGAGTAATGATACTCCTTATTAATTTATCTATTGTCGCTACTTTCCAGCAGAAATACGTATCGTTCGGGTCACCTATCCTATTTTCTGCTCGAATCCACTTTCCTCCTTTGCGGATTTTGCCCATTATTTTCCTACTTTTTGTTATATACCTATCTCCGCACGATCATTTTCTTTTTGTAGATCCTTTGAGCTTGAAGTACCACAGCATGTGGCTATATATATACTCGTATAAACTTAAATAACCTTTCTTTTCGAAAGTCCTTTTAAAAATTTTATTTGCGAGAAAACCGAGTACAAATAGATGTTCGTGAATTGAGTTCTGAATCGAGACTGTCTTAAAAATACGTTATACAATGCAAAGGAAGGACAAATGAAATATAATACTTTTATCTGATAAAGACGAGTCGCAGTGAAAACGTGCTGAATGGGCTTCATTCATGTTCTTTATAGACCCCTAAAATGAAGCTTCTCCTGGA